ACCAATTTTAGATGCTAAAACTTTGTATTTTAAATAAAATATGAGGTGCTAAACAAACAATGATTAAGTTGGTACATTGAATAATTAATTTTCGCGAGAACATCTCTCATGCAATTAGATTTCTCTATAACAATCATTCTCTATAGAAACATTTCACTATAACTTTTTTACATATTATTTTATATTATTATTTTTTAATAACATCATTCTTTTATAACAGCCAAAATATATATTTGAATAAATGAACAATATTGTTAATCTGTTATAGCGAAGTTTAACTGTATTACAACTGAAAAATAAAAGTATTATTTTTCAATTTTCATGGTTTCATATCCTAATCAGTTTTTTAGAAAAAAAAATTTAACTCATGATCACAATCATTGCAATAGCCATCATATTTTGTTATCTTGTTTTTTACTAAGACAAATTTGTTGTACATATATAAGTGTTCTTTGATCTATTAGCATATATATATATATGTAATAATGGGGTTGTATTTAATTATGGGGACCTAACAATTACTTGACAAAGTTCATAAATTGGTGGAAAAGACTGTTGAGTGTGATACCTTAACAAATTTAGAACCACAGAAATCTTCAATTATTGTGGGTTAAGAATTCAATGATTTAGAAGTTTACATCTATGGACATATTGTGTGTTAAATTTAATATTTCATTGGTTTCATATTATTTCATCCTTATTGACCTGAAACACCTTTTAAGAATGTATTAGTTAGAGGAAATATTATGTTAAACTAATCTTTTGTTAATGATGCTTTGAAATTTTAAATGTGACTATTACTATTTTACGTAGCTATTTATTACTAAAGGCAGTATAAAAAGTAACGTAGCCAGAAAATTTCATTAAAGGTGTTCAAATTTTAGATAGCACACTAAAAGAAAGTAACTTCATAGGGATTCGATTCTTGCATGCCTTGCATACTTCTGCACCCAATTGTCACCGAGCTACTACTCACTTCACATCAAAATTGTGCGGACACAAGAAATTGAACTTGGACGTCGTGAAAGTTTTGTGCATACCTTTGCCACTATGCTACAGGTCTCTATTGATTTTGAGGGTGTTTAAAATAGTAAGATTTCATTTATACATATATTGTAATTTTCAATAAAGAGTGTCCAACTAGTCACCTAATGATACTGTAGCTTCGCCTCTATGTATGAGAAAGAATAAGTAATAAAACGCTTTTGATTGGATTCAAATGAAATAAAAGGAATCGAGTATAATAAAGTACCAAAATTATAATAAAGTACCATAATAGTTGAAAGTTCCTTTCATTATTTACCTATGAAGTACTAATTCGCAACATATTTTAATTAAAATTGTGTTGAATATAGAAATAGATTCAAGATTTTAAATTATCAATTTCATACTATTAATTTGAGACAAAATGAATAGATACACCAATATTCCATCGTCATATATGAACTTTCCTAGTATAAATAGAGAAAATATTTACCCTCACCCCAACCCCTCATCTCCGCTACACTTTTGTTGTATTTATTCTTTTATAATATTCATCTAAATTATATATATAAATATTTTTAAAATATCTGTCATATTACTTATTTTTCAAAAAAATATTTTTATCGGCATCAAATACACCCTAATTTAAAATTCTAGGTGTGATATTTTTGTATTTTTAAATTTTTGTCTCCACCACTATCAATAAAAGCTACTTGATGTGAGACAATTTCCCCTCTTTTTTCTTTTCCACTTCACTTATTTAACAAATAAAAAATAAAAAATTATGGATGGAAAGAAAATGGTTGAACCACTTGGTTGTGTTTTAAGCCATTGTTTTTCAAGTGGCATATTATAGGTCTAGAATTTCACTTATTATAATTTGTTGTTGCTATTAGTCTATACCAGACAAATGGCTCCCTACCAAAAAGCACAAACAACATATAAATTTTAAAAAAGACAACTGGAACTTTGCTACCTCTAAATATATATGTGTCACCATCTTTCAAAAACTTTTCAAAATGGCTGTAAGTAGAAGCAAAGCCAGCCAATCGACGATAAAGGTCGTGATAGAGTAGTAAGTATTTTTTATCTTTAATCAGAGATTTTGAGTTTGAGTCTTCTTTGTTGTTGTTAGAGAGCGCTTTATCCCTCCATTTGGGATTGGGGCTTTCCGACGTAAATTTTGATTTAATTAGAGTCTAAATGTGTGTATTGAACATTGGACGAGAAATTAAAAAAAAAAGTCAATCATTGTACAACCTCTTTGCAATTTATGTGATATATTTTTCTTTTTAATTCATTTCAAAAAAATATTACTTTACTATAATTTGAAATAATATTTCATTTTTTTACCATTAATAAAATAATTTACACCAATATAAATGGTCATGAAGTATTTAGACTATAATTTTTTTTAAAAAAATTATACAAATTAAATGATGCCACGTAGAAAATTCTTATAAGTTTAATGATTGGTGATGGACAAGTACTAATTTATTTTATATTATCTTTTCTTTTTTACTCTTTGGTGAATCTGCTTTATGTTTGTTGGAATGAAAACAAATGGAAGGGTGCAAGCTGGCAATCTAATCTTCTTTTCTTTAAAAAAGAAAAGTGACAGTATTAATATATGTATATATAATTTATTTATTTTTAAATATTATTTTGTGAAATTTTATTGAATTTATTGTTATTGTTGTTGTTCTATTTTTCCCTAAAAAATACTTGATACCAAACATACCTCTAATTTTCAAAAAAAGCTCAGATTTATTTTTGAATATTCTAAACTTTAGCTTATAAAACTTCGAGAAAAAAATCATTAGAATACATGTCAAATATAATTTTAAATTCTATAAATAAAAATTTTAAAACACAAAAAGAGAGGTGAGTGTCAATGTCATAAACAAGATGTCCACAAAATATTTATGAAAAAGGAATAAGACGAAGGAAGTATGTAGAAATAATAATAATGAGTGCACACGTATGGCTAATAATAAAATGCACCAAATACTGTGTACAGTGGGAGACAGCTAAGCAATGAACAGACACACACGTTTCTAAAATATGGGGCCCACTATTTTGTCATTGAAATTAGCGACACTTTTTGTATGACCTCATCTTCTCATACTCCATTGGCGGCGTGCTTTGTTTTCTTTCGCCACGTGTTTTTATTGGCTCATCTTTCAACCTATTTCAATTAGCTTATCATATTACCAACACAGTAGCGCTACGGTAAGACTATTTCACATTTAATTTATTTCACATTTAATTAAAGATCAAGTTAAAGCTGTGAATATAGAGAAATTCAATTGGAAGCACCACTTACGGATTAGTATTGCAATAGATAATTTAAATTTAATTGAAACTTCAAGTTGAACGGCAAATACCAAGCGAAAAAAAAACAACAATAGGAACAGTTACTATACAAGAAGACTGCAGAGCCTGCCATAGTTTAGTTTTAATGACGTTTTTTTTTTTTTTCGAAACTCGATTAATATAAATTTGCGCAAGTTATTATCTGAAGCAACACTTTCAATAAAAAAAAGATTAGTACTGTAATTCATTTTCAGAGACCGCCGAAGCAGACCTCTGTTTGATAAGGTATCAATTAGGGGTGTGAAAAATCAAATCGATCAATAAATCGAAATGAAAAAATGTTATTGGGTTATTGAGTTTTTAATGGGTTTATAAAAAAAATTTATTGGGTTACTGATTTGGTTTCGATTTTCACTGTTGGGTTATTGGTAAACCGATAATCCAATAAAACGATAAAAATTTACTACTTTACCCTTCCTAAATATTAAATATCAATAATTTAATATATAACTACACACTATAACAATGTCAAATTATTAGAACTCTACCCACTTCACACTATGCCGCTTTACTAGTCCTTATTGTTTACTCAAAACCTAAAGACTAAAGTAAGGGTTCGCAATTGTAGCTATTTGATTTTAGTTTTAGTTTTAGTCTTGTGAACTTTTTGATTTTAGTTTTAGTTTGTAATTGTAGGTCGTAGCTTTTGCAAGTTTATAAAGGATTAACTTCAGAAATTTCGTACTATGTTTTGACGGTGACATGTAATTATAGTCTTCGTACTATATTTTCGCTTATTGATGCAATTTCTCATTATATTTCTTGTTTCACTATATCAAAGCATTTAGAGAAGTAAGAAGTCATAAAATATTTTACGGACATTTTCTTATTGGGTAAACCGAAAATTGATAAAGATAAAGATAAAAAATCAAAAAATTGAAAATCGATAAAAAATATCTTATTGATTTGTTATTGGGTTAGCATATTTGAAAATCGAAAACCGATAAATCAAACCAATAACACTTATAACTGAATCGAACCAACCGATGCACACCCCTAGTATCAACCGTTGTATTTGTGTGCTTTCACATAAATATTTGAATACGAAATACCCCTTTTCTGTTTTTTGTTTTCTCCCTTATGTTGTTACTCGCTCTTTTAATTATTTGTCCATTTTTGAATTAACACACGTATTAAAGAAATAATAATTGATATAGTGAGTTTATCATTTTACTTCTGTTAATTATTTCCTTCACTTTTTTTATATGTTATCTTTACTATAAATAGTTGGTCCATAATATTTATCATTTCATAAAATCAATGCATGAATGACAATATTCTTCCTATTTTACCCTTTTGAGGTGTTAGCCTTAAAAATATACATTTAACTAACATAAAAAAAAGAATAATTCATGTTTATTGATCAAATTAATTAATTAAAATAAATTAACACATATTCATTGATTAAAAAGTTGACTTCAAAAAAAATTAAATAAGGGTAGAATATAAACTTACTTAATTTCCTAATGCACATAAATTAAAAAATGATGACATATAGGATAAATTTTTTTTTATCTTTTCTTGATTTGTCAAAATAAATAAATAGAAAGAAAAATTAGATGAACAATTAGGAACATAAGGAATATTTTTATTGAAATCTAACAAATTCCCTAATAGATACATTTGTTTGAGTATTATCATTTAAGTAAAACTACACAACCAAATATCATCAAAATTAAACATTCAGAGCCAATTTACATAATCAAACAAATAATTAACAAATCCAATTGCCAAAAATTTACATCCACATTTTATTCCTTTCTCCTCCTTTCTATTTTTCATTATTTTTGTCTAATATGTACCAAAACTTCAGCTATACAATAACATACAGAAATAGAAAAAAAATAAATCACACTTTTATTCTCAAAATATCCTTAACCCAACCCGGCCCATTCAACACCCGACCCTACTTGACTTGACTCACAGAGTTCACAAAGTCAAAGTCAACGTCAAATTTAATCCGCTACGCAACCGCGCACGTTAGTGTTGATTCAAGTTATCCCACAAAGATGCGCATTTCCTTTTTGCAAATCCAACTCTCTTTTTTTCTAAATCATAAACAACTTCAAATCCTTGTTGAAAATAATTTCCTAATATCCCTGCGGGCCCACTTTCCCCTTCATCACCACCGTTCATCAGCATCACACATCCTACTTTCCTTTTCACTTTCTCATCATCAACGAACTCATAAAAATAGTTTCTCCTAGGCATCACCACACTGGAATTTCCCCCAAAATGTAATAACAGCTGCGGCACATTTTTTGAACCGGAATCCATATAGTAACACGGGCGAAGCCCGGTTTTTTCTTCAACCGGGTTTGCTCTTTTAAGAACCGGTCCAATCCTCCGGTCGAATTCTGTCACCACTGTTTCATAGAACTTCAAAGGTAACATAGTAAAAGTCGTACCGGAATCCACCACCATTCCGCCGTTTCCTCTTCTGTCAACTCGATGTAAGCTAGCTGGCGCCGGAATCTTTGTTTTTCCGATAGATACACCTTCGAGTCCGACGCTGTAGAAATATGGGTGTTTTGGGTTTTCGAGCATTGGGGTGTAAGCGTAATCGGAGTAATAATTCTTCATCTGTTTCATTTTTTCGTCGACTGAGTATCGACCGAGAATGAGCGGACTCGGTCGATTAACTTGATTGGTGTCAAAAGAGTGAGAAACTAAACAATAAGAGAAGTAATTTCCGATTTCCGGTGAGTTATTCGCGAGTTGCGCCGGCAACGAAAGAGTTCCCCGGCCAAACCCAGCTACTCCGATAGGTTCACCAAGAGCACTGTGAGCACACCCAAATGTAAAATTCTGCAAAATCAATGACGGAGATGACATGGGTATCGATAATTCATCGCTGTAAAGCTTCGCGATGAAACTTCCATCACCATAAGCATAGTAAAAAGGGGGACACGAATAACCCTTGCAATCTGAAATTTCAACATCTTCAAGTGGGCATTTCGCAATAGTGCAGAGGTCTGAGGACGGTAGCGAAGAGTGGACGGCGGAGCAAGCACGTGACTTGCACGAGACAGGGACGGCGGAGGTGAGGTTAATAGGGCCAGGGTTAGGGATAGAGGTAGGATTATACTTCCCTTCACAGAGAATACAATCAAAGGGTGACAGGGGAGCCAAACGACGTCGCTACCAGTATCCATGTATAGCGAAATAGTCTGTGACCCAAGTGAAAAGGATAGAGTATAATCACTTCCCGGAGTTAGAGGAAGCGAAACTTGACGGTGGGGATGACGGTGGTGGTGTAAACGAGAGGCGGAGCGAACGGTGGTGGATTTGAGAAGATGATGAGTACTGTTGAATTGGGTTCTTGAAAAAGAATGCTTTAAAGGGAAAACCAACGTTCCAGAAGCAGAATAGAAAAGGAACAGAGAGATGAAAACGAAAATAGTGAAGAAAACAGAGCAAGAAGAAGCCATTGTTGGTGAAAACAGAGGTTTTGCAGAAAACAGAGTATTGTTTCAAATGAATAAATTAACAGCTGAAAACTGTACTGTACCTTATCTTCTATGTACACAGACTCACAGATAGAGAGAGAGAGAAGAGAGAGATTTTGCTTTGTTTGTTGTATATAAAAGAGTGGAAGAAAACAGAGATTTATAAAGGAGGTGGCAGAGGAGAAGAGGACGAAGCTGCTGCTGCTACTGGTTTAGTGAGGATTTAGGGGAGGGTTTATGAGAAATAGTAATCTTTTAATTGTACATAAAAAGGAGGGCCATTGCCAATTGCCAAAGCCTTTCTCTTTGAACTCAAACATTCCTACTCGTGGTCCGGAATGGTTCAGTTGGTTTGGAGGTGGCTAGAATCGATCCATCTTAATGTCTTATCGTATAATATTTGCTAAGTTTGGTTTATATTTTAAGTTATTTTTAATTTTGTCAAACACTCTTAAAAGTAGGTTTGATCAATTTTTAAATCAATTCAAACAAGCTCTAACTCTATCGTTACAATTTACATGGAATGATTTAAGTCAAATAGATGATTTATTTTAATTCATAATTTTACTTTATTTTTAAAAAATGATAATTTTATGTCTAATGAAATAGTGTCTCATGATTGGCCAAGTGAAGATGGGTTTCCAAGACCCAAATCAAAATAATGATGGGGCAAGTGAAGATTCTTTGATATTCAATGTTACAAACTTTTTCTAAACTCGAATTTCAAATGTTATTTTTGTAACTTCAACTCAAATAGTCCAAATTCATATAAATATTTTAACATTTGTAAAAAGGAAAATCACACTATGTTGAAAACCTTTTTTGGCAACTTGATTAATTTAAATTCGTATCAGAAAATACTGATTAAGATAAAATATTCTTCAATAAAAATGACCATATTCAGAGGATTCAAATAAAAATCCCATGATTAAAGTGAATACTTATTTCTTTAGTACGAAGGGAGCAGTAAAAAGTAGAGTAAATAGTAATATGCTATCGTTGTAGAGAAGTAAAGACAAGTGAATCAATTTGGTGCTTGCACGAAACGTACAATTCAGAGAATGGGTAAAAACAACTTGGAAGTGACTGCATGACCTAATAACTCCATTTCATCAGGGGTTTGGTATATCATAAAATTTTAACTTTTACACCCCGTTAGATCATTTAAAAGATACGTATAAATAAGCTTTTTGGACCAAATATACCCTTAATATATTTGATATAGAGCAATTTTTATTATTCTACTATGTTCAAATCAGTAAACTAGAAAAGTTTTAGAAATAGAAATCAGAAACTATTTAAGATAAATATATCTGAAATCACATAATTCACTGTTTGTCCTTAAGGAAATTCAACCTTATTGTACTCGAGGTCATGAATTATTTCCTCCCAAGATAAAACGAATATACATGTTATTGGTGTAGCAGTAACCTATATTCTAGTAACTTCGACAAACTCAAAAGTCTGTAATAAATCACACAAAGACTCAATATTTACGTGTAAGAAAATATGCAGAAGAAGTAACTATTCATTGGATAATGCTAAATGGCTAGAAAACTTGGTCAGGATTTGGCTAGAAAATTTAAAAAGTGTATAATATCTTTTTTATTTTAAAATAAACTAATCTTTTTTTCATTTTTTAGTTAAAATGTATCAAAATTAAAAGGGTAAAAATATTCAAAAAAATAAAATAACATAGATAAAATATCATTCTGGCCAAAATGTCTTTTTCTTATTCAATGCTGAAAACTAAGAGTAAACCTCATCATTTATAGCCAAAATATTGGTTGAAAAGGCGTGAACTCATCTATTCAAAATAAGCTTGGTGTTTGTTGGAAGAAACGCAGGTCCTTCCTAATTTTTTGTTCTGCGGATTAACAAATTAATCGAAATCGAGTGACGATGCGCAGAAAAAACTCTTTGAGGTGTTTCTATATATGAACACAAAAATTCTCCTTTTTTTATCCTTTCATATTTCATCTTTATCTTTAAAATTTTGTTTTTATAATTTTATCTTTGATTTTAAAAATAAAAATTATTTACACTGACGATATGACGTCCATACTCATATGCTTTCAAATGAGGGGACGGGCCGTTGCGTATGGAATGGTGTGAATTCTGATAGTCGTATAGTGTCATTATGTAGGAGGAAAAGACATGAAGTTGATGGAGATTGGGGATTCCCCACTTCATTTTGGTCCACTTTCTACTTCATAAAATGTTTTATAAAATGTTGGTATGTGGTAAGAATATTTTGTATCTATACACCATTCAAAATTTAATTATGTATGGAGTTAAAAAAAACAAAAATTTACTAGACACCAATATATTCTTATGTCTATTATAATTTGGATGTATCTTGAGTTCTTTGAATCTTGTGTAAGTCATTTAAAATAGTTTTATAATTCCTCCGTTTTATATTATATAGTTCTGATTGACCTGGCATATTTTTAAAGAAAATTTAATTAGAGTATATTTTATTAAATCAATATTATTAATACTATTTAGGAACTATAAATTTTGCTATTATTATTGTATATGATTATTTAATATTAAGAATAGTATAAAAAATTATTTGATTTGCTAAAATATTTATTTTAATATATGAGTTAAGTAAAATGAAACAAAATATGAAAGAAATCCAGGTTGTCCCTAATAACAATTGTTTTTGTATGAATTGGGACATAGTGAGTCATTAGTTTGGTTTATGAGATAAAATAAGGATATTTCAAAATTAAATTTGAATAATTTATACTTTGTTTAGTTAAAGGTATAAATCATATTTCTAAAGTGAAATAAATTAATTCAAAAGTTCAAAAATTATATTTTTAATACCGAGACAACTTAATCTGTGAATCAAATAACTCCTATAGGTTTAAAGTTATAGTGAAGCATAATGAAACTCTTTTTTTTGTGCATTTTCACAAGATTTTTTAAAAAAAATATGTATGAAGGGGTCAAATTGTTTTGGGGTGAAACATCATATTCAATTGAAAATGAACAAAGTACTAGCATATTTAAAAAAATATACATTTTCAAAGGCTTGTGTAATTGAATTTGAATGGAAAGGCATCTTTACTAGTTGAATTGACCGTTCTTGTCTCATATTAAACGTTTCCCACTCTTATTTTTTCGTTTGATTAGGGAACGAGTTATCTTGGAATTGTTATTCTATTTTTAATGAGGGAAAAAAAATTATAATATTGAGATAAGTTACCCAAAAATTCCAACTAAATATAAAAGGTACTCATTCTAAAATTAATTATTTTTTACCCCTCATGCCAAACGAATCAGTATAAGGATAATTATTCTATGCATGCAATAATATTAGGAGTCATTTGATTTGTCGATTAAATAATTTTGAAATTATAATCTTTGGAATAATTTATTCCACTTGGAATGTGGGATAAATAACCTCAAATTTGATGGGATAAATTTATACTATATTATTTAATTATTGACTTATATAAATCTATCATGGGATTATAATAATTCTTATCCAAGTGCATGGATCTAAAGCAAACAGTCACTTTCAGTATAAGCAAGTGGATAAAATTATAGATTTTGAGTCCTTTTTTGATTAAATATTTACATTTTAACTAATCCAAATTAGTTAAAATCTTCTATAATCAGTTTATGAAGGAGAGATGAATGATAACAAGAGATTTGTAGTATTATTACGATTTCAATGATCTTGAATAACGTGAACAATTTTTTGAAACAATTCAATATAGATCTTCTCTTTTGTATAACTAAAGGGTTGTTTGATTAAGTGTATAAGTTGGTCAAACTAACTTATAAATATTTTTTCACTTATTTACGTATTTAGTGAATAAAAAAAATTCTTATAAGTCAAAATCATAAAAGAAAAAAAAGGGTCATAAATTGAACACTCATAAATTATTTATTTTCAACTTATAATCACTTTTTGTTTGATCAAATCTTTTACGATTTTAACTTCATAAGCAATGGAGAATAGGACGTTTGAGTAAACTTGAAGTATTAATACTTAGTTTTCTAGTCAAAGTAGAGACTAAATATGAGCCTATTCATTATGAAAAAGCAGTACAAACTTGAAGTATTAATAGTTAATTTTATAGTCAAAGTATAGACTAAATATGAGTCAATTCAATACGAAATCATAGTTTCTCCGTTCACTTTTACTTGTCTATTATATTAGATGTATATTTTTATTTTTTACCTTGTCACTTTTAGTATTAAGAGTGTAGCCCAGTAGGATCAAAATAGTTCATTCAAACCTAGCTATTTCAGCGGAAAATTACATTGTTTATAAATTATTACAATTATTATTTTTATGTATATATAATTGATATTGAACCTCCATTAACTTTTTTGTGAGTTTTACTTTTCATATTTTGAACCGTCTTTGTAACGACTTGTTCTTGTCGTTATAGAAAAACCAACGGGGGGAAATTTTGGGTCGGAAATTTTTTTCGTAGTAACTTGGAATTTTCCAACCTTGTCCAGATTTGGACGAAATCGAAGTCATTAAGGTGTAGGGAAATCTGGTAACAATCGGGTGATTTATTTATGATTATGATTACATGAGTGGATAGATAACTCGTTAAGGAATCCATACGACTTTACGGAATTGAATTCAGGCGAGTAGAACTCCCAGAATCAATCTTAGCGTGAAAGGTATTTTCTGAGCGTCGTGGGTTAGAGGTGTGTTGTGAAATGAGAATTTTGAATTTTTTTAAATACCTCACTGGTTTGTGCAAGCCGCCTTGGTGGGGGTTTTGGCAGCTCTGGCGGGGCTGCTAAACGACGCGACTTAAAGTCGTTAATAAACCCATAAACGACCTTATTATGCACTTTTCGACTTTTAGAGCTAAAGAACGAACCCCAGGCGACTCCTACTCGTTTTTCACCATTCTTGAGGCTAAAGGTAAGTTTTTCACTCCCCGAATCCTTTTTTCGATCTGTAGAACGTAATAGAATGGGTGAATATTGATGGAAGAGGGTTTTGTTATAGATTCTATGGTGGAAACAACTCTAATTTGGATAATTGGGATCATGGGTTTGATCTAGGGTTCATAGAATTGTTAGTAAT